CCTTCACCTTCCCAAAGGTTTGTTTCCTACAATGTTTGGTTAAATGTAAATGTCACTAATAAGCTTAATTCTTTCAGCTTAGACCTATTATTTATACAGGCACAGACCAAGCAGCAACTGAAGGTGATTTTTAAGTTTCCTCTGTGCTTAAACAGGGAAATTAAAATTGACCAACAGAAAATGATCCAAAACAAAAATACTAAAAAAAAGTCTAAAGGATTTGTGAGAAAGACTAAAAGAACCAGGCTTCACTGGTTTACAGTCAAAAAAATACAAAAATAGTGAGTGCCTATTTACCTATTTCTCTTCACGCAAGAGACCACCAATTTGAAAAGTCAGCACAGTGTTTGGCACACAGTAGGTCTTCCATAAATATTAGTTGAATAAATATATGAGCATCTACTATGTAATGGAATTCTGCAATCACTGTGTTTCTTTCTTTTTTTTAAACCTGAATAGTATGGTAGACAGAACACAGCTTCCTATTTCACTCAGAATAAAATATTAAGTCCTTACCACACCCTACAAAGTCCTACATCATCTGCAACCCAGCTACCTCTTAGGCTCATTTCCCACCACGCCCCCACCCTCTTTCTATTCTGCTCCAGCAATCTGACCTTGTGCTCCTCAAACAAGTCACAAATTCTGGCCTCAGCACCCTCACACTAGCTCTTCCCTTTGCCTACAACACCCATTCCTTCAGTCTCTGCTCAAATGTCACCTCATCAGAGAGCCTTTCCTCAGCACCTCATCCAAAACAGCATAACCCTTATGCTGCTGTCTTTGTCCTCCTATCACTTATTGCTGCCTGAGATATTACATATTTCTTTGTTCCTCCAAACTGCAGAGTCACTCCCAGGAGGGCAGAGACGTTGCTATTTTGTTCACTGCTGTATTTTTTGTGTCTAGAAAGAGTCTGACACATTTCAGGAGTTCAATAAATAGTTGGTGAGTGAATAAATTAATGGATATTAGGTTGGAGGCTAAAGACCTGGAATCTAATCCCAGTTCTACCACTAAAAAGTTGTGTGATTTTGGATGAATGTCCCCTGACTCTTTCTGAATCTGTAAAAAGGATTGGTTGGGAAAAGGTGTTTCTAAGGCCTCTCCCCTCTCTACAATCCTATTGGTTTTATAGAGCTATTTACATATAATTTTTATATGTTTAAGCAACATAAAAATCTTTTTTTGATATTCACAAACTAGGAGACTTCTGGGCACTTCATAGTGTATGATTAAGACCCTACTCCAAAGGCTCGTGATGAAGCCTTCCCCAATTTTTCCAGGCAGGATGGATCCCAGGACTTTCTCCCTCTATCAAGGTACTTCATACAGACTTTTTCTTCCTTAACTCTCTTATAACAGTTAATGATATAATTATGCTTTTCTGTTTCCCCACCTAGAATGTGAACACCTTGAAGACAGTAATGCATTCTTTGTAATTTCTGTATGCAAGCACCTTGCATGGTCCATGGCAATTAGTAAGCATTCCATGAATGTTTAGTGAATGAATGAATACAGAAAAGCCAAAGTGGAAATAGGATCATTACTTACACTGAAAACTAAGACCATCACTCATTCCTCATTGATGAATGGTAGACAGAAGGTAAAGCTTTACTGCCACTGATGATTCATCTGAAGGGACATAAGAAACTGAAACGTACTGGGAACCCACTAAAGGCCAAGCACTCTTACCCATGTTCACATAGTTTATTTAGTCCTATAACAACCTTACGAATTAGGAATTATTTTTACATATGAGAAAATTGGGGCCCAGAGAGGATATGGGATTTCCCTATGACAGAATGGCTAAAAGGACACTCAGGCCTCTTCATGCCATATATTATATTCATATCAATGACTGGTACTTCAGAAGGGTGGTTCTCTGATGCAGTATAAGTACTGGCATGTGTAACGGTGAGCATTCCTGCACCAGAAAAACATTTTTACAATTGGGGGGATTATTTCCCTGATTCAGAAAGGTGGCTATAGATAACTCCCTATATATATTCTTGAAAAGGTAAAGAAAAGATTTATAAGCAGATTACACTTTGTGCCTTTTGAATTTTTAGAGTAAAGCTTATTTTTTCTGATAATAAACTACCTATTCATTATAGAAAAATTAAAAAATACAGATAAATATAAAAAATAATTTAGTCAACCATTATTCCATCACTCAGACAACTACTATTAACCTTTTTTAATCTTACGGTTAATAAAGGTTATCATAAATTTTATTATGTTTTTTATTATGGTAACCTTTATTAAGCTTTTAAGCCTTTTCCAATACATATTTTATTTTATAGAGAGATCATTCTAAATTATACAATGTATGTTTTTTCAGGTTCATTAGATACATGGTTCTATATTGTTAGAAATCATAAGTAGCATTTTAATAATGGTTTAATAGCACATCAAATAGATGCAATAATACATCTATGCATTTTATGTGCCTCACAATTCTTTTAAAAAGTCACTTTGTAATTCAACTTCTTGAAATGGTTTTCTCCACTGAGAAGTGCTGACAACTCTTCCATTCAAGAAGGGGGAAAAACTCCCACTATTATTCAAAGAAATGAAGTCTTCCCTTTTGCTCTAACAACTAAGTAGAAGCTAGTTAGAGCCATTCAAGTTGCACCTACAATTTGGAAGGGTTTCTGCTCCAAAGGAAAGGAGGTGGTGAAGCCTAGCTGTGGCTTGGAGGAAACAGACCTAGGCTCATATCCTGGTTCTTACACTGACTTGCCTATACCCTCAGGAAATTATACAAACCTCAGTTTCCTCATCTTTAATGGCACAGTCACCTCATAATATTGCCAGGAAGGTTAAAAATGAGAAAACATAAGTAAACATTTAGCACAGATACTGGCACAGAATAGACCCTATTTTAAAGTCAAACTTTGGTAGAAGAGCCAAGAGGAAAGGGTGAAGAATGAGGAGACATTCTTATCTCCCATCCTTTAGAGAATATTCCAGGGTCTCACCTTTAATCTCAGATGAAAAAAGAACTTTAGGGCATATTTGTAAACTCACAACAAAATGGTATATTTGTGACACTTTGAGGTAGGAGGAATTCAGGGGCTCCCAGTTCCCCTCGCAGTTTCTCCCACTGCCATCTCCCTTCCCCTTGCCCCCCGGACCCCTCCCCAAAACCCTGCTGTGGTTCAATCCTTAGACAACTCCTTTATTTTCACTATTGCCTCTCTGATCTAAGCCTTTCTACACCCAACCTTCTAATCTGCCCATAGGCCTAATTTTCCAGTAACACAAGTCTGTTCTTCTAAATCCTGTTCAGTTTACTGATTTCTTGCTACCCATCAAATCCAAAGTTTAAAAAATGTGATGGTTTTCAAGGTCTTCATCACCACCTTCCCATTCCCACATGCTCCCCTCCACTTTACCCATTCTGACCCTTGCCCTAGTGTCCATCTAACCATCTTAGTCAGTGCAGGCCACAGTTTACTGCAAATAAAACATATTTATCTAAAGATCTTGACCTTTGTCAAAAAGCAATGTAATCCAAAAGTGGTGCTTTGGATCACTGTTAGCTGCTCACATTTTGGAGTATATGAGTTTTCAGATTCTCTGGAAGAGGGGACAAATTTGGTTGGGCAAGGATTTGAGGATCCCAGACACCATTAAAGAAAAAAGGTTAGAAAGTCTAGGATTGACAGTTTTCCTTCTCAGTATTGACCAGAATCACAGGTCCCTACTCGCTATTCCATTTCCACAGGTGCTTTCTCTTCTGCTTTTCCTTTCTGCCTCTCATGCCCATTCTCAAAGGCCCAGGTTATGGCCCCTTCATCTCAAGGCAGTCATAGATCTACACACTCTCTTCCGACCTTCCACAGTACCCATGGTCTGTCTGCCCTCGCTTCTCATTTATTTAGCACATAGTCTCATGCTCCTCAGATTGCTCTCTAACTTTTTCCGTAAAGTCCTTGACGGCAGGAACTGTGCCTGCTTCCCACTTGGCACTTCCTTGGTAAACATGTGACTGGTATCTCAGACTTCTTATCTGACTGGCCATTCACCCTAATCAATGCCACTCCGTGAGCTTTTTCAACTTCAGCCCTGCTGTCTTTGGTTGGGCAGCACTTTAACTCAAGGTAAGATGAGTATTCTGAAATGCTGCACATCCATCTGTCACCTACAAAGCCTTTCTACTGATATTAATAGATTGAGTAAGAGACATCACTGACTGACAAAACACAAGACCAAAAAAAATCCCATACTAAAAAAGAACAGCAACAGCCAAACCCCATACTCAGTGAGAGTAGAAACAAGTCAAAATAGAGAGGAGATGGTTCTTGTTATTTTCATGTTGGGGTCTACATGAAGGGAAGGAGGGAGGGAAGGAGATGGAAGTGAAGGAAGACCATATAGTATTACCTACAATTGTATTCACATTCATTGAAACGCTAATATTTGGGGTCAGGATTCTTCCCCAAAAAGCAGGATTTTAAGAACAGGGTTATTGAAACCCACGCTTCTTTTCTCCAAAGAATTTATGGGCTTCGTATCAAAATGAAGCCTCCTTATAGCAACCTAGCCCAGATTAGGTATCCAAGAGCCCGCCAGCCATCTGAAGGTTCCAGAGCGGCCTTCTACGCCTCCACCCACACCCGCTTCTCCTCTAATTCGGGCTTTCAAGATTGCTCCTGTGCCTTGATCCAAACGTAAGCGTTTCAGAGTATTTCTACAGCTAGGCAGGGCCCTAAGTAAATCTCGATATAAACAAGACCAGCCAGTCACAAGGAGCGGGGCTGGCGGGGCGGGAGAGACTTGGCGGCTGCAGGCGGGCCTGTCACTCCAGCTGACAGAAAGCACCTTCACCTTCAAGTTCTTCGCCCAGGCAGCGCCCTAGAGAGAAAGTGCTTATTAGCTCGAGGGAACGAACTCCAGCGCTTATAAAGGAGAGGGAGCGCCAAGCTCCCGGCGAAGCACCTGCCCCGCGGGGCCGCGTCCCCGGCTGCGGCCCGGGCGGAGGCGCGCGCTACCTGGTGTCCGGCTCCCCCTCCGACTCCGCCGCCGTGTCGTCCTCCTCGTCTTCCTCCTCCTCGGTCTCCATCCCTCGGGTCGCCCCCTCCGGGTCGGAGCCGAGGGCGCTCTCCGCCGCGTGGTCGCTGTCGCTGCTCGCCATCGCGCCTGCGGGGCCGGAGCCGGGCCGCCCCTCCGCGCCGGGTGTTCTCCCTCCGACTGCGCCGCGGCCCGGCCCGGCGGGGCGCCTCGGGTTCGCGGCCGGGGGGCGGGCGAGCCCCGTGCCTTTAAATAGAAGGCGTCAAGAAGTTGCGCCAGAGCATCTGGGGCCTGGGCTCCGCTTCTCCTCTTCCCGGCTCGTCTGCCAACCTCCCCGACCCCTCCCCGCCCCCGGCTTAGGCAGATGCCGGCGGGCCTTTTGGGCGACGAGCAGTCACCATCCAAGGGGCGCGGGCTCCGGCTGCCCCAGGGAGTCGAAAGGACGAAGGGCACCGGCCCCGCCTCGTTCCTGCAGAGCAGGTTCGGCAGGCTTTAGGTTTCCAGCGGGGCTATTTGAGGGGCCCTTAATCCCGACCAAAATAACTACTCCTTACTGAGCAGAGCCCTTACCAGTTGAGGAATTCTGCTAAGGGTCTCGCTTTCCTTATTCCCTCACAACTCTGCTATGGTAGAAGGATTAACTGCAATGCTTTTATAGAGGAAAAAACAAGACTCAGAAAAGCTTGGGTAGCTAACTTGCTCAAGGCCTCAAGGCTATTAAGGTGACCCAATGGGAAAACAAAGCTCCACGTGTCCGACTATAAAGCCCAATTTTGAACCATAGTATTCGCTTCCTTTATATTTTTAAATCATTAATTTGTGATTGTCTTCCTGTGGCTCTTGAATTGTGCCACCAGAAATTTTTTCTCCATTCATCTCTTAAACCTTGAAGAGGAATAATTTTTCCACAATAGCCAGAGACTGTTTTGTCTGAAAGTCAACCCAAAGGTCCCAGACCTTTGGTTGGATGTCATGCCCATGCTTAAAAACCCTCAGTGGGTTCCCACTGCTCAACAACTGAAGCCCAATCACCTCATGAAGATAAACAATTCATACCTTACTTGTCTGGACTCTTCTTAACGAGCCACGAGTTCCCAACACTTACCAAGCCACACTTCTGTGCCTTTATTTACACAGTTCCTTCTGCCTAAAAGGTTTTTCCTACCCTTATTTACTTGGTTACTCATCATTCAAGATGACCACCTTCTCTGAAATTCTCAGGTTGAGCCCAATACCTGTTCTTCCAGGTTCCCACATTATCCTAAATTCAAATTATGTCTGTATCTCTTTCCCTCAGTAGACTGTAAGTTTGTTACTCATCTCTGTCCCATCATTCCCAACTCTTAGGAGCCTAGAAGCTAGAAGAGAACTTAGCACATAGTAGGTGCTTAACGAATGTTGCCTGAAGAGGACAGGACCAGACCTGCTGAGTATGTACAACAGGTAGAGAATATCTTTACAAAGATATTCTTCAAGAGGATGATTTTATGGCTAGAGCAGCTAACATTTTTAATTTCAGCAAATTTTATTCAGAGTTAAATATGATGAATGTTAAATTATGTAGTAACTGCCCAGTTACACTAGCTTGTATGCATGTGTTAAGCCTGTGGGCAAAAGAGTGCAGATAATTCGGATGCAGTACAGGAGCATCAGCTGGTGTGCATGAAAAGGGAAGACAGGAGAGTCCAGGCACTCAGAGTTCACTAAACCAGGTTTAGTATCAGCAGTGTTCACTCCCTTAACACAAGCTAGGTTTTTCCATTTGTAATCCCAAACAACTGCTTCCCCAGGACAAAAAGAACTCAATCCCAGCTATGGAAATCTGTGACACCCTAATCAGAACAAGAGCTAGCCAACATATACTCCTTCCATTGAACTCAAAATTTCTTGGAGACACTAAAGTCAACAAGATTTCCTTGCAAAGATTCTAGTTCAAACCAATACAAAATATAGAATGGCAATACAGACTATACACTTCTTTCTAACAATACTTTCTTGAGTAATAAAACATGCAAATACATAGAAAAGGGTGGATCAATATAAATAGAAAAAGAATGGTTATTCACCACATGATTAAATACTGAAAAGTTTTAAAAATTCTTATATATTAACAGCCCACTTATCTGACATATTTGGCTGTCACAACATACATAATCCTTAAGCTTCAGTCTACTGATTTATAAGTGGGTATAAATTCATTAATTTCTTGATCTATTTGTTAGAGTAAAACACCTGAACAGCAGAAGCAAGTTGAGTGTGAGTATTGCAGGGGAAGAAGGTGTTGGTGTCATTGAAAGCTGAGAAAACAGTCTGGTGAAGGAGTCGGTACCACAATAAATGCTGAGGCTTTATTAGGAAATGTAATACTGTACGGGCAGAACACCGTACACACTTATCCATCCCTGAAAGCCACACGGTACTATACAGAGCACCATGACTATAACTCACTGTCTATACAGATTTATCCAGTCATCAGTAGATTAATTATACTCAATACCTTCTGATAAAGAAGTGTGTATAATATATCCTAGGAAGTTTTCGAGAAAAAGAATGTATAAAGCTTAATTGCTTCAAAAGTGTCAAACATCAGTAATCTAAAAAGATCACCTATGTGGAAAGCTTCATTCCTAATAATGCTAGAGAAGTACGATCTTGATGTAGTTAATTGGCTTAACCAAGAATGAACTTCATTCCAAGATCCTCTGTATAACTAAATAATCAAGCACAATAATTGAATTGAGTTTCATTCTACATGATAACTACAGCCTCCATCTCACCTCAAAAGTAAAGACTTTCACAGAAAAAGAAAAAAACACACACATCAATGTCCATATATAAACTTTATTCCATATGAGATAAAAAATTTTGACTTAAAGAAGAAAATGTAAAAATGCACCTTTTACAAGTCAAAGAAAAGCAACTCTTAGTGCATTTGAGTTGGTCTGCAAAAAACCAAATATATTAGAGGTACAAACTGTGCCAACAGCAGGTCTAAAAGAAACTGTACACAGTCCTCAAAAAGTTCAAACTGTTTTCAAGACAACCCTTCATATTTAAATGTACAGGCACTGACCAATTTACAAATATTTACATAAACCAAAAACAACCTTAATAAGCACTATCTTTTTAGCAGCCACCATTACTTCATGTGGAAGAGAAATACTAAAAAGGATATCTTTATAAACATTAAGCTTTTATTTATAATAATTTTGTCTTATCCAGAACATTTTATAGTGGCTTACTGACTAAAAATTCCAGTTTAGATTATAATCCTATACTGTGTATAATTGTACACAGCAAAAAAATCTGATACTATCAATAGGATATAATCTCAACTTTGATTTTACAGTTTCTGCTGCTTCATGTCACAGAAAAAATAAAAGCAGAAAAGCAAAGCAAAGCAAAAGTGCACATTGCACTAAGCTATCATAAAGCACAGGGGACTTAATCTTTTCAAAATGTTTACATGGAACTGATTGTTTTTTTAAATTCACTAACTGCTGTACAATACAGAGTTAGTGCTCATATTACTATAGTGCAAAATGTACTGTTGGTGTCAACAAAAAATTTAAAGCAATCTCAAGAGTACATACATCAAAAGCATGTGAGGTACTAATAAAATGCTAATACAGACACACCCAAAGCCTCAGTCCATCCTGGTGATTCAAGTGAAGACATAAGGCAATTTCCAGTATTTCATGCCTCTGCAGTGATTTCACTGAAATAAAAGATTTCATTTTGCTTCAAGTAACTGAGTAACTGACTTGAACCTTCATTTACTAAAGGACAGGCAACAATCTATCTACTGTAGGTTATACTTTAAGTATGTATGAATCAGACCCTTTCCAAAATTACACACATTTCTTCAGTATTAACATATGGTATGATTAATTGAAGTTATATTATAAACCTATTATTTGTTCAGATAATACCCCAAAAATATTTTATCTGATCTGAAATTTCATGCTGTAACACTACTAATCATCAGTGTTAAATGTTTTCAAAAATACATCTTTAAATCAAAGGGTTTTATTAGAAATGTCATAATAAAATATGCAATCTTTATATAAGTATGTCCTCTTAAAAATAAAACACGAAAACAAGAAGAACAGTTAAAAAGAAACCATGATGGAGGTAAACAAAACACATTACAATGTTACTATTGTTCTTTAATTCTCAGAAGAATTTATTAAAAAATAGAGGCCAGTTATCTTTTCAGGATAGCAGCTCTTAAAGGTAGTATACTGTTCAAATCTTTCTTGTTTTTCAATCTGTGCCATGACTGGGAGAGAGAAAAAAATCATTCTTAAAATCTAAAATATATATGGAACAAAAGACTGAGAGTTACTAGCATGTTAATAATGGTTCTTTCTAGGTGGTAAAATTTTAAGTGTTTTTTTTTCTTCTTTTTTTATCTTTCAGGTTTCTAACACAGTAGAGATATTATTTCCGTCATCAGAAAAGAAAATGTTACTTAAAACTCAATACCTGTATGGTTCCAATTCATTAATAAGGAAATAGGTATAGAAAGGTACATATTAACATTCACTCCAGGTTTAAATAATTTCACCTAAAATAGCAAGGTAATTAAAACAAAACCTTTGGGTTTCACTGGGTAAGGGAAGAGTACTTCAATTATTTGATTGAACTGTTTGCATCTAGTAAGCTCTTTCAATTAAAAATAGTATTTATGAAGGAGTAAATCTATAATAAATAGAGCACTTCACATATGCTCTAAGGAAGAAGAGTAAAAGAAAATTTGTAAGAAATAAAGAAAAACTGAAATTCTTATTCACAAACTAAAAATCTGGCTCACTACTTGGTGACTACAGATCTTTGTAGTTTGTTTTCACTTCAGTTGTTTGACTAAAAGTACTGGTTTTCCCACTAAACAATCCTATATCAAAATTCACCCATCAACAAGAATAACAATGTAGCAATGCTACTTTTGAGTTCTTAATTTGATAAAAGTATTCCCTCTTGGATTCTTGTTTTGCCAGGCAGAATTCCATTCATTTAAAATTTTCTATTCTGGTTGACAAACTGTGAGGACCTAATTTGAAGGACAATATGATATACTTGTATTTTTAATTATTATCAAAATAAAGTCCACTTGTGTAACAGATAATGAAAAAGAATGCCTCTAAAATGATCTTCACAATTCACCCATATTTTTCTTCTATAAAGCACTCTCTCCTATATGTCTCATAGTACATATTTCTATCATGTGTTTCTACTCTGTACTGTGGAATCCTCAAAGACAGGAACCACACCAGGCAAAATTACTGAAGAATAAACTAATACTGTAGATTAAAGAGCTAAGGAATAAACTAGTTTATATATATATGACTTAAGTTTATATATATAAAACATTTGTGTACACAAACACACACTTCTTTTAATGTCTACCTATAAGCAAAGATAAAATGGCACTCAAGTTCCTTGTTACAGTGGGATATGCTCAAGAAACTCACGTGACACATTTCACTTTTCATTAAGGCTACAATAAGTTCCCTGCTTTTTAGGGAGGAAAGGAATCATTTGGTGTTAAGCACTCATTCTAAGAGCATAATAAGCTCATTAGGAAATGCTTATTTCCACAAAAGTGAAAGACAGATCTTTCTGAAGGAAAAAGTGTATTTAAATTCAAGTAATAAATTCCCTATCGTGCCACATTAATGACTTCATAATACAGGAGACAGAGCAATTCTGTCCAACTATTATGTGTATATTTTTCATTTCAAAGCACACTAGTCCACTAATGTTTCTATGTTAACCTGATGATGCATTGTTTACCTTTAAAAATTGATCCTTGATCATGTCAAACTTCTGCCTTTCATGCACAGCTCTGGCTGTATTTGTTCCATCAAAAGGTTCTGCAATGTTAAACACCCAGAAAAACAAGAAATTTTTAAAATGAGAACATCAGTCTTTTTATGAGGCTGAATTCTATATATGAAACTGTCAATATTTGACAGTTTTTGACCTACAAAATAGCAACTGCAATGGTTCAGCCTACTATCTTATACTTCTCAATTCTATTAAGGTAGACAGACTGCAAGTGAGAAGATAACTAAAAATGAAGTCATCAGCATAGATGTGTTATGTCTAAATTATAAAGGTGGTAAGATTTCTGAAGAATTACAAAAATCAAGAACCTACCCGTACCCTTTAGGGATTAAAAATTAGTTTAAAAAATAAACAGTTATCAAAAACAATAAAGCACTACATCCAAGAGAGGTGGTCAATGTTAAATACCACAGAAAGGTAATTTTAAATTAACATTTAATTTAAAAGACCATTGATTTGTCCAGCAGTAGAAAGGTTAACACCTTTGAAAGTAGAGATTTAATACTGGTGAGGATGAAAACAGTGCTGGGAGTTATGGTGTGAGTGGATGGTTTAGAGAGAAGATACAGTGAGAACAGTAACTTGTGTGAAAAACTTGGCAGTGAAAGAAGAAACACAGGATAATAAGTAGAAAAGCCAGAAAAAAACAAAGAAAGAATTTCTGCATATGTCTCCAACATGACCTTCCATACCTTCATCCCCTCCCTTCTCACCCTTCACCCACAAGAGAAGGGTCTATGCATAGATACAAGGAATCTGTCTTTATGTAGAACAAGGAAACTGAGGATAATAGAGAGAAAAGGATAACTATAGGCATTAGAAGTGAGATGGGATAGCTGACACAGAGCTAGCAATAGGTAAAATGTACTAGAGTTCAAGAATTTTGGCACTGAAAAAGAGGGGAAAAAGTACTTAGAAGAGCCATGGAAGACCAAGTCAAGAGTATTTTTCAAGGATGAGAGACCTATGTATGCCTTTTAAAGCTTAAAGAAAGGGACAGAAGAAAGTTAATGAAGTTGCTAGAAAGAGAAGAAACTACTCGAGAGGAAAGACCTGTGAAACAGGAAATTTGATTGATTTTAGATTTGTCATATAATCTAAGCAGGCCCATAATTTTAAAGACTCCTTTTGTTTATTTGTATTTTATTGCTTAGAAAGGTTGTTTTAAAAAGAAGTTTAGCTTCACAGTACAGGCATACCTCATTTTATTGTATTTTACTTTATTGCATTTTGCAGTTATTGTGTTTTTTACAAATGAAGATTTGTGGCAACCCTGCAAAGAGCAAGTTATCAGCACCATTCTTCCAACAGCATTTATTCACTGCAAGTCTTTGGGTCACATTTTGGTAATTCTTGTAATACCTCAAACTTTTTCATTATTATATTTATTATGGTAATCGACAATCAGTGAGTGATCTTTGGTATCACTACTGTAATTATTTTGGGGAACCATAAACTGCACCCATCTCGAATGGCAAGCTTAATTGATAAATGTGTGTATTCTGACTGCCCCACTGACCAGCTGCTGCCCTCTCTCTCTCTCTCCCCCACCACCACTTGGGCCTCCCTATACCCTGAGGCACGATTACTGAAATTAGGCCAATTAGTAAGCTTACAATGGCCTCTAAGTTAAGTGAAAGGAAGATTCACATGTCTCTCATTTCAATCAAAACCTGAAAATGACTAAATTTAGTAAGGAAGGCCTGCCAAAAGCTAAGACCGGCTTAAAGCTAGGCTTCTTGCACTCTCACCACTTAGTCACATTGTGAATGAAAAGGTAAAGTTCTTGAAGGAAATTAAAAGTGCCACTCCAGGAAACACATGAACGATAAGAAAGTGAATCAGTCTTATTGCTGATACACAGAAAGTTTTAGTGGTCTGGATAGAGGATAAAATCAGCGATAACATTCCTTTAAGCCAAAGCCCAATCCAGATCAAGGTCCTAACTCCCATTAATTTTGTGAAGGCTAAGAGAGGTAAGGAACCTGCAGAAGAAAGGTTGGAAGCTAGGAGAGGTTGGTTCATGAAGTTTAAGGGAAGAAGCTGTCTCCATAACATAAAAGTGCAAGATGCAGCAGCAAATACTAATGGAGCAGCTGTATCAAGTTATCCAGAAGACCTAGCTAAGATAGTAATGAAGGAGACTACTCTAAAGAATAGATTTTCAATGTAGACCAAACAATCTTCTAGTGGGAGAAGATGCCATCTAGAACTTTCATTGTTAGAGAGCTTCAAAGCTTCAAAGGACAGGCTGACTCTCTTGTTATGAAGAGACTCAATGAAGCCAATCTTCACTGACCATTCCCCAAATCCTAGCGCCCTTAAGAATCCTGCCAAATCTACTCTGCCTGTGCTCTATAAATGGAGCAACAAATGCTTGGGCAACAGCACATCTGTTTACAAATTGGTTTACTAAATCTTTAAGCCCACTGTTGAGACTTACTACTCATAAAAAAATGATTCTTTTCAAAATATTACTGCTCAGGGATTAAAAAGTGGAATAGGAAGGCAAGGCAGAAACCTCCTCCCAAAAACACATAAAAGAAGAAACTACAGCAAACACAACTAAACCTGAAAATGACATGAAAACTGCAGAACAGACCTCCTACACCTGAGGAAGAAAAGAAGACCATATAGAAAACGGTAAAGTGGCAAAGCCAAGATCAGACAGACTCAAGCCCTCCCCCAAGCCCAGTCTACAGGCAAAAGAAAGAGAAACGGAGTGAGGAGTGGGTAAGAGCCCAGGAGCACTGCATAACTAGCCCTGGAGATCTGCCCCAGGAGCATGAGCCCATATTATATTGGGTTCTGGTGACTAACAAGGCTGGACACCAGGGGCAGGTGGACACTCTGGAAGGCTAAAGACTCTAGCCAGTGTGGAGGGCAGGCATGCTCTGCCTGTCCTGAGACCCAAAGCAGAGGTGGCAATTTGAAAGACTTGCCAGCATACCAGAGGGGGGAGGGTTGGAAGGAACTCTCCTCAGGAGAAAGAGCAGGTAGAGGGTACACCCCCAGCTCTTCCTTGGCCCAGCAGATTGGGAACTCTTGGGAGCCCCCCTTACTGGCAACAGAGCCCCAAGGCTTCTCCCTGTGCGCACTGCCAGGAGCCAACCACTTGGCCCAATGGCAGCATCATACTTTGCTGCCTGTCAGGCAGAGGGGGACTCTCTCAGATTCCTTGGTTCCATTTCAGCCCAACACCAAGGAGGTGCCTGCAGGAGCCAGCCCCAAGAGATCCTTCCTCCCTGCAGGTGTCCAAACTGGTGTGGCATGTCCAGCTGGGGCAGAGCCACACATCAGTCCACCCACCCCATTAACCCTGCAGTCCTGCCATTTCTGCAGGCCAGGCAGAGGGAGGGCCCCAACTACAGCAGGCTCAGAAGAGACTCCTGAGATGATCACAGAGACAGCAGCTGAGGAAAACTTCCCACTCAGACTGAGACCACTACAGATGCCAGACAGACAGGTGGTTCTGCCCACGGCATGCCAACAGCCGGGAGCCCCACAAAATAGAAGGAGGCATTAGAGAGTAAAGAATCTTGAGCTTCTGGATAGCAGGCCTTCTTCATAAGGCTATTACTTTACAGGCCAGAAAGCATAGCAGAGACTTTAATACAAAGGAAGAAACACAGAAGCCCTGACAAATGAGTAGACAGAGGAATATGATCTAAACAAAACTGTAAGACAGAACCCCAGAAAGAGGGATGAATGAAACAGAGATCACCAATCTTCCTGATAAAGATTTCAAAATAAAAATCATAAACATGCTCATGGATTTACAGAAAAGTATTCAAGACCTCAGGGGGAACATCAACAAAGAGACAGAAGATCTGAAAACCAGCCACACAGAGTTGAAGACACAGTATCTGAAATGAAACATATGACAAAGGGATAAAAGTAGGTTAGATCATGTAGAGGAGATGGTAAATGAAATGGAAATTGGAGAAAGAAAACAAAGAAGCTTAGGAACAGAGAGAAGAAAGTATCTCTAGAAATGAAAGAATGCTAAGAGAGCTATGTGACCAATCCAAACAAAACAATATTTGCATAATAGGGGTAGCAGAAGGATAAGACAAAGACAAAGGAATAGAAACTCTCTTTAAGGAAATAATTGTTGAAAACTTCCCCAATTTGGGGAAGGAAATAGTCACTCAGGTCATGGAAATTCAGAGATCCTCTAATAAACGGAACCCCAGGAAGACACCACAAGACATATAATAATTAAAATGGCAAAGATCAAGGATAAAAGACTGCTGAAAGCAGCCAAAGAGAGAAAAAAGACAAACGAAATCCATCAGGCTATCAGCAGACTTCTCAACAGAAACTCTACAAGCCAGAAGGGAGTGGCATGATATATTTAATATACCGAAACAGAGGGACTTCCAGCCAAGAATCCTATACCCAGTAAGATTATCATTTAAGTTTAAAACAGGTATTAAAGAATTTTCAGATAAATAAAAGCTGAAGGACTTTGCCCCCACTAAGCCAGCCTTACAGGATTTGTTAAAGGGACTGCTATAGATGGAAATGACCCTAAGGCTAAATAGCTTTCACCAGTGAAAATAAACCCACAGTAAAGGTACTAGACCAACTAACTACCAAGCAAGTACAAAATTAAAACAAAACAAAGGAAGCAAAATCAACTATACACAAAATCAGTAAAGGGATACACAAAAAGTGCAGATTATGAAATCTAATACAAAAAATGTGGAGGAAGAGGAAGAAGGGAAAAAAAGTACCTTTAGATTGCATTTGAAATAGAGTGATCAGCAATTTAAAATAGACTACTACATAGTAAGGAAGCTATCCTTGACCTTTGGTAATAAAACTAAAACTTACAATAAAAACACACAGAAAAATATAAATTTTAAAAAAGAGAAATCAAATTACAATACTAAACAAAACCATCAATAACAAGAGAAGAGTATAAGAGAAGAAGGAATTGAGAGGAGCTATAAAAAGAGCCAGAAGACAATTAATAAAATGGCAATAAGTACATATCTATCAATAATCACCTTAAATGTAA